TGGCAGCTGTTTCCTGAAGTGTGCCAAATCCCTTTTGAGAATTACTTGGCTGCTGGTGGGATGGATGGATGTCATTAACACCCAACTCTGCCCTCCAGAGCTTTTCCCACACTCCGTCTATTATAGCATAAAATAGTGTCCCTTTACAAATGGACCTTTTGAGGATCCTGTCCCCAAACAGTGCACCACCAATGGAAAAAGGTGGGACCCCGCTAAAATAATTACCCATATTGTTGAAGTGGGTAAAAAGCAATATTAAAATCGAAATTATTGTATTTACATTTCACACATATCATTTATTTAATACAATTGTTAAAAGCTTCTTATTTTGGAGTTACTTTATCAGGCGAACATCAAAGCAACACGTTTTATTTGTCACTTTGTTTATTCAGGGCATTATGAATGTGACAGGGAGTGGACACCGGTTGATGACGCTGCATGTCCCACGCGCCAACATTAGGAAAGGCTAAAAATGGGTGAACAATTAATATTAGAAGAAGTAGTGTTGGAAACGAGTTTTTTTTTTTTTACGAAAAGTACAAGGGAGGCTATAGTACAGCACACGAGGAGGTAGAGTCAGATGTAAAATGTTAATTAAGCCACTGCGAAGGAGAAGCTAACATATAATCTGTTTGGCTCTATGAAACCTGATGTACTTATATGATTCTGTTTTCTTCAAGTTTGTATCTTCCTGGTCGAATGTACTTATTGTAAGTCGCTTTGAATAAAAACGTCAGCTAAATGCAATGTAATGTAATGTAATCATCTGTTAATGGCTAACATTGCTCAGGTGTAACGGGGAGCCTGGCTAGTCCATCCCGCCTCCTCCGCCCTCTGTTGGGACCGGTTGGGACTCCNTTGGCTCTATGAAACCTGATGCACTTATATGATTCTGTTTTCTTCAAGTTTGTATCTTCCTGGTCGAATGCACGTATTGTAAGTCGCTTTGAATAAAAACGTCAGCTAAATGCAATGTAATGTAATGTAATCTATTGCTTTTATAAAACGGTTACCAAGTGTGGCAATATGAAAGAAAAATACACACTCTAATTTAAATAGTTTTTATTAGTAAATAATGATGTTCAAAATAAAATAGTATTCAACTAAACCATGTAATAACTATATTTATTACATGGTTTAGTTGAATACTCGATTCTGATTGGTCAATTCAGAACACGTGACACGTTGTTAATACCGAACAGACAGACCGCTGTCAAGGACTTATTGACCGTTGTTAAGGACGCTCACATCTGCAGAAAGAAGTCCGTTCGATTTAACTGTATACAGTTTGGCCGAAAAGCAAACTGCATGCAGTTCTAGATCTACTGCAACTCTTGCTTTGCGTCGGGCTCCTGATCAGCCTGTCGGTGTTCTTTTCCCCATAACGACCGCGTCGCAGCACAAATGTATCCCTTACTTAATCAATGGTTTCTACATAAACTTACTTAGGGGTCTTATATTATCACATTTATACTTGCCTAGTGCAATGTAAACATTAGCATACCAAAGATTCACTTGGACATCAATATTTAATCTAGTGTTGTTGAGTGGGAAAATTGTGTTTGTTCTAACACATGAAAGTAAAAAAGTACTTGGACCCCCGGAGCATAGGTCCACTGCTCTACTCTTTAATAATCGATAAAAAAACATCTCGTATTCAGCCATAAATATCGTACATTTATTTTTTTCAGAAGAAAGTAAACATTTCTGCCAGTGAAAGGCATAAAGGATCATAGGCATATATTCAAGGTCTTAGCATTCAATTTGCCTCCAAACTGGACTAGCTCGAGAGCTATTGTTGGTACATGCTATGTAACTTTTAATGATTTTTTTTTGAAGGTGAGCCCTGAGATGGGACCTGAAGTTGAGCGAGGCTACAAAGGGGATTTTGAATTTGTCTGGTTATAGTGACTCCCTAGCACCAGCAGGTCAATGTTTTCAGCAATACTATGAAATATCTCAACATGTACTGAATCGATTGGTACAGACATTCATCGTTCCCGGACAATGTGTCCATTTAACTTTGATCGCAATGGTGGTTACAAATTTACCACCACGACGTTCAAATGTGTGCTTTTGGGTGACTTGTCTCAACAGCTATGAGGGGGATTGACTTTAAATGTGGTAAATCCCCCTCAGGATGAATTGTTTTGTATGGGTGATCCCTTAAAATCTTAAGATGGTGAACATGATAGACTTTCATAATGATAGCATTTAGCTCGTAGCACCGCTGTTCCCATGTACAGCCAAACAGAGCTGCTAGCCTCGCTGTAATCTTGTTATTAAGGTGAGTATTAGAATTGATCCATCACATATTGACCGTCCATAATAAACACCATGTTCAGCTTAATGTACTTTATATGTATAGTAGCTTACACCTTGGATCGATGTGCTTGTTTGGGGGAAAGCACCTCCTTTCCAACGCTCTGGTTGCAGAATATTTTACGAAAGAGATTACATACAGGTTTGTTTGCCTCTGTTAAGCTGACAAAACCTAAAAATGATGATGATTTGGAGGTTTTAATATAAGACCATGCCTTCGTCCTTCTCTCCCTTTCTATCACTTTTTTCTCATTGCTTTCTTGTTCTCATCACCGCATCCTTTCAGCTGTATATTTTTCTCCTATCGCTTCGTTTGACTTGAGCTCTCCTGGGTACTCCTTTCTTATCTCATGCTCTCATAGCGTCTTCCCTTTTCTTATTCTCCTGCCTTTCATGTGTCCTTTGCTGCTATCTAATGTCTTTCTCCAGTGCCTGTCTTACAAACAGCCTCCTATAGATCCATATATGCCATCTGGTTTCTCACAGCCAACAGCCAACTCACTTCAAACGCCACTCCCCAGGCCATTCAGCATTCTGAATTCATGTCATTATTAAGTCATGTAATTGGCAGAGGCAGTATTTTCTGTTGACCAGGCCAGGTAACTAGCTAGGGATAACTAATGTAAACCTTTGGCACACTTCGCTACACATGTGCTCATCTTTTATTTAGCCAACAAGGCTCCATTGAGATACAAGATCTCTTCTGTTTTGTTAACAATGCAGGCCAGAACATTCCTCGTGGCAATGGACCACACAGGGATGGTGAAACCTTGGATTAATACATAGATATGCATTGAATATCTCTCATCTCTTAGCAGAGTGTTTGTCCAGTGCTATTACAGCGTTTGAATGTCATGAATACTGATCTCTTTAAAAAAAAAGGGCAATATCCACATGCATTTGCAAGAGTGGTTCTACAGTACACTGGCCTTGTATTCTAAGGTTAACCAGTGTGTGTGTGTTAGCTACCATGCAAATGACTCGATGATAAAAGGCTTTGCACAGTCCCTGGATTGCAGGGAGCTTTGCACCTTGAGGACAGCGTCATTTTCTAATTTTGTTTCTCATAAATCCTAATCATCTGTCGTGTTATTTCGCGGTAAATGCCACCACTCCTTTGTAGTCACCTTCTATTAAAAATGTAATGAGCATAGTGCTTTGGGTTTTCTATGCTTAGCAAGTCTTTCTGTTCTTTGACTTGTGTTTTTGTGGGAAATTGACATTGTTGGTATTTTATGTAGCAGCCCTATTTAATTCCTTCCCTCCTCATTTATCTTTACATGGTTTACCCACTTTCTTTTAAGTGTTTCCCCTAGGATGAGAGTCATTTATAGACAGAGAGTGGATGTGGAGTATATTCATGTGTGACACAAATCAAAGGTAATGATAGCATCATTAGGGGACCTGCTGGTTTTGTTCCCTCAGATGGAACAAATAAAAACAAAAATAAATCATCATAACATGCAGTGAACCCCTGTATGAGCTGCTTGTTGAAAATAGAACAATTGCCAGGAGCTTTATATTGATGCTACATTATGTCCAACAGGCTTATGGCTGGTTAATGTTTTGTTTTACTCGAATGAAATGTTTCCTTTGACTCGCGACTTAAGCAAATTTACTTACCACTTGCATATTTTACCAGCTAATAGATGATGGTGGTTTGTATAACCATGATTATTTAATGGGAATATGAATACAAGTTGATCCACCTTGTTGATGTTGTGTGGCTATTTCAACAAATCACAGAAAATTGGCAAAAATTGGCTTTTAGTTTGGATCTGTGATAACAAATATGTGTCCAAATTCCAGTTTTTAGTACTTGACAACTTTAGTTTCTCATCGTTACATATCATGCATATTTCTGTCACTACTAAAAGAAGGAATTTAGTTTGAATCCCAGCCCTCCGGTCTATTAATCCACTGGTGCGTGTGGCTGTTTTACTTCAACTTTTTAAATTCAGTAGACAGCATGAGCGGTCTTAGCACTATTTTACAGACCTGGTATATCAAACTAAATTCTGAGCACACAAAGGGGAAACCAGGCTTCTTGTGGAACAATGCTTTGTTGATCAAAGAGCTAATTTGCCAAAGAGAGTGTATTCCTTTGAGGTTCTCTGTAGAGATATTACTGCCTTATGAGCGAGTCTGCGAGCGGCAGCAGAAACATAATGTTCCCTGCCATGTTAGGACTGGAACAAGAGTTTTCCAAGTTCATAAACTTCATCTTAAATGTATTATGAATGGAGATATTTTATGTCTGGATGACTGGCTCTCCAGTTTCATCGCTGTGTTAATCTCATGCAATATTTATTAGGCTCAGTATACACCATAGGCTTAAAATACAGTGTAGTGATTCTGTTTCAGTGCTGACTTTCATGCTTTGAGTCATGACGCATACGGGAAATGTATGCAGATGCTCTGGAGTTGAGATGAAATGTAAAAGAGCTATGTGATCTAATTAAGTATCTGTGGGAGGCAGACATACTGCATCTCTGTACATGTGTGCCAAGAAGTGCAGGCCTCAAAATATGCCCATTCCCCTGTATGTGGATCATGCCAATGCTGTTATATAAGCAAAGACAGGCCTCGGAATATTTTTTTTCTGTTCAATATTTAATGCTTCTACCAATTTATATTCAGTTCATGCTCAGACATACAGACACATAAATCGAAGCCTCTGTGTCTGTCCTTGTTTTTCTTATGTACCCTCTCTGTGAAAGGCCATTTTTAATGAGTCATTATGCCGTTTACTTGGATGTGTTTTGTGACTGTGTTTGCATCTGTGTAAGGTTCTGTCGGTGGCAGTTAGAGAAGACACTCTAGCCTGACAGAACACAGGCCTCAAACTTGTTTTTGTTTAAAACTGGGGGTTTACACAAACACATACACACACACGGACACACACACACACGGACAAAAAAAGCTATCCTTGGGTTTTAAGACTGAAAGAGAGTGAAGGTTTTGTCTGCCAGGCTAACCCTTCTGGTGCGATGAGATTAGCTCGGGCTCTTTGTGTGTACGCGTGTGTTTGTGAGTGAATGCACATTTCTTTTTGTTGTTGCTTTTTTTTTTTTGGATCCCCTTTAGTTGTCTGTGTTGGATCACCTTTATTCCATCTGATCACAAAACCCCTAAGCCTGTTCATGTGTGTGTCTTATCATGTACATGTGTGTGGGTGGGGTACATGAGCGTTGGCATGTTTCTCCACCTTTATTCACACATGCAGGTGTACGAGTCTGTGTGTATGGACAGTTGGCCTGGTGGGCTTTCTTCTGCCCAGAAAGGTGACCTTTGTAATCAGCCCTGCTCAAGCCTCTGCCCAGGGCCTCTGCCAAGCAGGACTCAGCCTGAAGGGGCCGATGCCAGACCACCGGCCCCCTCTAACCCCACCATCCAGGTCCTTGCACCGGCCCCTGGCCCTACACAGCCCTGATGGAAGGGAGCTTACCTTGGGGGGGGGATTGCTGCTGGAAGTGGAATAGATAACTTTGAAATATATCACTGCGTCACAGCCCAATCATTTATTCGGACAGAAAAAAACTGATTTTTAACTTGCTGATTTATTTGAACTTGATGAACTAAAGATTAAATGGTGCACGTTGTCTAACCTGAACAGGTACATTCATGGTTTTCGGCATCTGAAATGAAAAATGATTAGAGTTTGTGGTTTTCTAAATCCTACAGACAACCTGTTACTGATACAAGCTCTGAAGCAAAGTCAGTCAAGTCCATTTTATTTTTGTTGCCCAAAATGGCAAATTACTATTTTTGAGGAAGGCCACTAAATAGGTTTTAAACATGGGAAGTGCTGAAAGGTTCATCCATTCTGAAAATAAATCACTAACAATTTTGATAATCCATTAATTGATTACTTTGTTTATCTACAATAAACACCAAACATTTGCTGGTTTAGCTTCTCAAATAAATTCCTTTTTGCTTTGTTGTTTATTGTGTATTATTTGGTCTGCTAGAAAGCAACCAGCAATTTGAGGACATTACCTTGGGCTCTGCGAAACTGCACGGATTGTTTTTCTCTGTAGTTACTGATATTTTATTGGTTAAACAATTGATGAATGAACATAATCATTGGTTACTGCCCTAAACCTAAGCCCTGTTCTCATAAAGGTTGAATCAGTATTGAATATTGAGTGTGTTATACTCAACAGGAGAGGCCCACGATAAAGACGTCCAGGTGGTGGAGTTGCCCATCGTGGACAGCCTCCACCCTCGGCCCTCCTACCTTCCCTTGGCCATCCCCGAGGACCTGGCCCCGCGCCTGCACCGTCTCCACGGCGACCCCTCCGTCTGGTGGGTGTCCCAGTTCGTCAAGTACCTGGTACGACCTCAGACGTGGCTGGAGAAGGAGATCCAGCAGACCACCGCCAAGCTGGGCTTCAAACACCCCATCATCGGGTAAGGACACTCAGTTCTCACAGCTCAGTGTGTGTGGCTCTGTTTTTCCTCTCTCTGTGGTTATAATGACTTTAGAAATAAAAGCTTTGTCGCTATAGCATACCTCTACACTTACGTTTACAAAGTGTTGCACAATCAAAGCGAACAGAGACATGGCCTTGGGGCTGTGGTGGAACAAACACTGCTTTGGGTGAGGTTAAAATGAGGTTAATGAAATAGTAGCAATACAAGTAACTTAATTTTGCGTTTGTGTTTTAACTAGTTAGTTTTCACCTCTGTCTTTCCTTTACAGTCTTTTGCTTTTCATAGTTGCAGCTCACAGTTACACGAATCAACTCGAAATGTCATCACTCTGTACTTAGTTTTTCTAATAGCGGTGTTATGATAAGTCTGATTCTGACTTGTTTCATGTATAAATGTCCTCACGAGGGTTCTTAATCCCTCGTCCAATCCAATTCCATTTCCATACAGAAGACCTTCTGATCTGATATTGTTGCTAAATCAATGAAATAGCCGTAGAGTAAAAGTATCTCAGACAGAATTTAAAAATCAGTAAAAACCGAACAAGAGAAGACACGAGGAGCTTGTGATGCAATTAATGGCCGCGTTTAAGATGAAAAGCCGGAAGCCTTTCTTTTATCTTCAATAGGCTTTGTTGATTAAAGCATAAGCCAGGCTATATTCAATTTTTTTATTATTGTCAACAAATCCCATAAACATACCATTAACAACTCTAAATAATTCCCACAAACAATTATTATCTTTGTTGCCAAAGCCTGAGTGTTATTCCTCTCTGCCATGCCATTATAGTTATCTAAAAACACATAAATGAGCCTCACTGCATTAATCCTCTTCTGAAAACAGTCCCAAAGAATGCACAATTTACTCCTGTTGTATAATTGTTCTTAAAATTAAATACCATCAAAATATGTGCAATATATACATTATTATATACATATGCCATTAATAACTGTGTAATATATACCTGGCTGCTAAAACCTAAGAACTGTTGCAGGATTTGTATTTTTTTTAATTTTTTTTTTAATTATACTTTTAATTATATCATAACTTAGTACTTTTTTTTAGTAACATTAAGCTGTCTGTGGCTCTTTCTTGCTGTAACGGTGCAAATGTCCCCTCTGTGGGCCTAATAAAGGTATTCTCATTCTGAAAAACACAAGCGATTTAAGATTTAATAACAATTTAGAGACCTGTTTTTAAAGATTTCAAATCATTTTGACCTACTTGGCAGCAGGTTGAAGGGATTAACCATTTTACGGCATTGTACATAATGTCTGGTTAGCAGTCAGTCGTGGGAAAGTATCTGACATGAGATACTTTGCTGATTCCCTAACGTTCCTGCACCGTCACATGAGACGGATTCCCCTCAGCTAGGAAAGGAAGTAGTTTAAAACAAATTCTTCTAGTTCTATTCAGATTGTTAGTGAAGTAAGCCTGGTATACTTCTGTCACCCTCTTCGTAGGATTCTCACTTTTCGTAGCCTTTTTTCTTTTCATTTTGCTGCATATAGTTCTTCAATGTTTTTGTCATGCTCTTCTCATATCTCCCATCCTCTTGTTACACGCTCTCTCGTTTTTCCCTGTCTCTTTTCTCAGATGATTTCCTCTTTGGGTTTTAGCTCTTCATCACCCTGGCATCTTCTGTCTCCCACCCCCCTTTTTGTGACTCATCCCAAACTTTTCCAATCTCCACATCCTCTCATTTGCTCTGTCTTCATTTGTTCACCCTGTTTCAAGACATTTCACACTCACCTCTCACTCACATTCCCCCGGTGCATATCCCTACCCACAAGTCTCTTGCTCTCATAGTTTTACACACATCTCTATCTGTGTTCTTTGTGTTCCCCCCACCACCAACCCCTGATATATCCCACCCTTTTTCTCCGTCATATCACTGGGGAGAGGCTTATTGAAATGATGTGCTGGAAAGAACAAAGTTTTATCCCTTTTCTTTTTTCCCCGGTCCCTTCTCAGCTCCACTCTTCTCTTCACTGATGTTGCAACAAAGTGCCTGTGCGCCTCAGTCAGCACTGTGGGGGAAGGCGATATGTGTGTGTTGGGAAAAGTGTGTGTGTGGGGGGGGGGGGGGTTAATGTGAGATGCAGCAGTGGGGCTGATAGAGAGCTATAGTTTCAGTGCAAGAAAAAGGCGAGAGGGTGGCAGCAGTGGGGGGTGTAAAGGTTGATGGAGAGGGTACCGAGAGGGATAGAAAGGCAGCTTGTCCCCAGAGTACCCAGCAACCTCCAGCCGACCCCCACCCGCTCATTCAGCACCACCACACAACCCCCCTCCCCCTGCTCCCTCAAGACGCTGCAGGAAGGCTGCGAGCCGCCGACTAAAAGCTGCTATCGGCTCCATGCTGCCACCATTTAATGCTTCCTAATGGTAGTCAGGCTGGTCGGAGAGAAGGAGGGAAAATTGGGTGGCTGCTGCTATTGCACATTCTAGAATGGCCTTATCGCCATGGCAATAGGGTTACCAGGAGATGGAATTATGTATTTCATAATATCTTGTTTCAGCCGTATATGAATAAGGCGTCGATAAATTGTGTATATGTGGGGTTTTGTTTCAAACAGTATCTCTTAGATTAAAACACAGACAAACTTCCTTTTGAATGATCAATATTGCAAGAAAAAAACATGTTATTATTATAATATTTAAAAAAAAGAAATGTGTGTTGGGATTTTAAAGGGGCCCTTTTTGCTAATTTTCCGGTTTCATATTTGTATTTCGTGTTTACATGCTTTAATGTTAAAGAAAAAAATGCTTTAAACTGTATTTTTTCACCAACCTATTTAAATTTGTTCTTATTGTATTTAATCATTTTCTATTGTTATTTTTATATTGATATCCCAGTTTGCATTAAACTGAGGGGTTTTTATTAATATGCTAGCATAATATGGTGCATGGAGAAAAACGTTTACGAACAAAACCATTTTTTTAAACGGCTGTGTTAAAAATCCAATTATTAGTTTATTTAAATTAAATAAATTATGATTGTTAAAAAGTTCTTCCTAATTTAAAGCTAAAGTAGTATTATTATGAAAATTAAATAAATGCAGAAACAACAAGCTGTTAACACAACATTGAGTTTCTATGTTGATACGATGCAGTAAAGGAAAATGGTTGGGCTTTGTTGGTGAAAACACCTGCCTGTTGCGTGTTGAGAGAAATACCAAACAAATATGAAATTTAAAAACGATAAGCTAACAGCTGCTGAGGTGAACTGCAGAGTCAATGATCATTTCTTTCATTATTAGGAGGGATCTCTTTCACATACAATGTAAACAACCAGCCAGCTACCGCACAATTTAAACCACAGTTTAACAACATGTTCACAACTGCCCTACACGGCAAATGAAAGGAAAGGCTCCAGTAGAGTTACAGAAAAGTTATACACCCAACACCTTAATAAAACACTTTAAATTGACCTTTCCCTTTCCGGATATAATTATGAACTTGCGGTACACCTCAAGAACACATTTGATCTGATTTGATGTCAAAGTGAATGTGGCATTAGCCGTTATTCTATAGCAAGTACAGATGTAATATGGTAATAAATGTTCATCACATGCTGCTGATAGGCATCCAGAGGTCATTGTCAAACAAATCATTTATTCGTTCTACATGTTATTGTCAGTTTCCAGCGGAATCAGCACTGGCTGTGTGTGTGGGTGGGTTTGGTCTCTTATGTATGCTTTTACGCCCACCTTGAGGATTGCCCTGCCTCGCCAGTGCTGTATGAGTAGAGAGTAAATGGATTGAATTATTGTGGCAGTAGTGTGGGAGAGTCCCGGGGAGGGGAGGCGGAGGGGGAGGGAGGGATGGCTAAGAGCTGAGCATTGCTCTGACAGAGAGAGAAAGGACCACAACAAAAAGAGAGTTCACAGGAACAAAAGACATGAAAGAGGGAGCGGGAGAGAAAGACCCCGACAAAGGAGCGAAAAGCCTGGAGTCAAGACCTCTGTCCGAGATGAGACAGCGAATGAAAGGATCAGACACCCCCGCTGACACCTCACTCACCTTTTCCTACTCCGTTCTTCCACTTAAAAAAAAAGGGTCTATTCCTGTTGCGACCATTCCCCAGTCACTGTTTGATCACCGCCGGCCAGCGGTGGGAGCCTGTTTATTTCTCTGGACCTCTGACTCTTTTCTCTTTTTCTTCCCCTACCTCATTCTCACAAACACGCCAGAGGCAGCCTTGAGGTTAGAGAAGCTTTTTGAATCCCTAAAGCAACCGGGGAAAGAAAGTTAAAGACTGATCATCCACCAAATTCTCCTGACCCTCCTATGTTCCAGTAGAGCAGCTCCTGGGTCAGCAGTAGATGGTTGAACCAGGTGGAACTGTGTATATGTTCGTGAAATATCTACATGTTCACTCAGTTTTCCCTTAATAGGTGAAGATTGAAAAACGTATTTTTTGTTTGTTGACATGTCATTTGCTCCTCAGGCCAGAAGTCACAATGCAGATGTGGCTGGGTAGTTTTGTAATTGAATTTTGGATGGAATGAAATTGTGTTCTTCGTCTATCAGTTTGAAGGATGGTTCTGCGTTTCCATTCTCGCCCGTCTTTTGTTCCGTTTACGAGTTGTGCTCTTCCTCTCAAGTTCAGCCGGTGACAGCAGTCTCTCTTTGTCCTTGCTTATTGCAAGCGGTGACAAAAACACTGAAAAAGTACAGTTGTGTTGGTTATTTCCCTGTCTGTCCATGTTTCTGTTTCTTAAACGTCCTCCCTTTTTGTCTCTGCATGCCTTTTCTTTTTCCTTTCTTTCTTTGTGTTTTGCCCCATCAAAGATTTCAAAGGGATACGGTTGAAGTGATGTTTTTATTTATAATTTTACGACACATGAAAACAAATAAGAAACAGACTGTTCAGTCAGAACTAGGACACACTTCCTTCACTACAAGGGCATTCAGAGAGTGAAAACCCCTGCCATGGCCAAATTCCATATATTCCAATGATAACACAAATCTACAGTTCACACAGAGATCCGTTTGATGTCTAGCTATCTCTTCTGCTAAATGAAATTGGTTTCCCTTGAAATTGGGTTTACATTTTTAAGAGTAAGTGCACTGTTGCGTTCAGCATCTGTATTGGGACGACTCTATTCATACTCCCTACTTCTTTAGAGTGCAGTTGAACAAAACTCAACACAATATGAAAACCATATCATGTGTGTGTGACCCGTTCTGTGTCCCTGTGTGTCTGCAGAGTCCATGTGAGGAGGACGGATAAAGTGGGGACGGAGGCGGCCTTCCACCCCATCGAGGAGTACATGCTGCATGTGGAGGAGCAGTTCCAACATCTGGCCAGACGTGTCCACATCGACAAGAAACGAGTTTACCTGGCAACCGATGACCCCTCCCTGCTGCAGGAAGCAAAGACCAAGTCAGTGTTGGGGAGTGTCTTTGTGTGTGTGTGTGTGTGTGTGTGTGTGTGTGTGTGTGTGTGTGTGTGTGTGTGTGTGTGTGTGTGTGTGTGTGTGTGTGTGTGTGTGTGTGTGTGTGTGTGTCCATGATCTGTGTCCATCTAATGCAGGGGTGTCCAAGCTACGGCCCGGGGTCCAAATGCGGCCCGTGGACCATTTTGAATCGGTCCTCAGCTAATTCTAAAAGTATAATGAAATATGGCCCACAAATTAAACATCTGCTATTGTACTTATTGAATATATATGTTCAAATATATAACACAGTATCCATGTGTTAATAAGCCCGATTTTCAAATAAATTCAGTCAATTAAAGTTGAAAACATTTTCTAACAACTCTTAGTTGATAAGAAAAAAGCCCAATAACACATTTTCATAACAACCTTGAAACATACCCTTCATATTTCCTTTTATTATAAGCAATCTGAGCCATCCTGGAATGAGCTGCCAACACAATACATGAAACCCTAAGGGGAGCTGTGTGGTTTTGTTCATCAATATCAACCATCATTTACCTACATTTGATTCATTTCTTTAACTTATAACTTATGAGGCAATATACCTCTAGTGAGCAGCCCAGCACTTCGTATATTTTTCTGTGTGTGGCCCTCGGTGAAAAAGGTTTGGACACCCCTGATCTAATGGGTGTGTGAGAGTATGACTTTCTGCCTAAGTGTTCCTCTGAGATTCTGACCACACCTATTTAATGTCATCGTTTCGTGAGACTTGACATTTCTCCGTCTTTTCGACCCTCCCAGGTATCCAGAGTATGAGTTCATCAGTGATAACTCCATCTCCTGGTCGGCAGGCCTTCACAACCGCTACACTGAGAACTCGCTGAGAGGAGTCATCCTGGACATCTATTTCCTGTCTCAGACCGACTTCCTGGTCTGCACCTTCTCCTCACAGGTCAGCCCACAGGCAGCATTTACAGCTTGATTATGGGGGCATTCTTGATGTGTGTTTTGGTATTTTGACTAAATTGACATTTGTGATGGATTTGTTGGGATGAAAGCACTCCAAAAAAACTTTGATGTGCACTTGCTAGCAGACAAAGAAGTATGGAGGTGGAATAAAACAATAATGGTGGCATATTTAGTTAAAAACATGCATTTTATGTTGTTGTTTTGAGTCATGTCATTGGAGAGTGTGTGGGAGAGAAACTCCCTCTAGATGGAACTTTAGGATTTTAGCCTTTGCAGACCATTTAAATGCACTGAAACCTAAATAACAAACTACAAGAAAGGCAAAAATAATATTAGGGCCCCTTTAATCTCTGTGTGCATGTGACTGAACACATGTAAATTATAGTGAAAAGTGAACGATTGGTTTGGAAAAAAGAGGTTGACATTCTGGAAATTGCCTTCTGTAGATCACGTGATAACAATTTAACCGTTTCAATGAAATCAGAGGAAGGTCACCAGATGTGACTGAAAGCTCATGAATATTTCAGAAATTAGACTTCTTTTTTTTTTAAGCTGCTATTTTGGAAATAAATGATAGACTTTGAAGCTGATTTGATTGCTTTGTGTTGTAAATTCACAATAACAAGTAAAAGAACAGAATTGCAGATAAAAAAAAAGGAACGAGAATAACCTTAAAACGGAGATGACCCTTTAATAAAAGCACACTTGAGAACAAAAATACCGTGATTATATTTTTAATTACGAACACAGGAAAAAAGAATCAGGTGAGACAAAAGGTTTTGTGCTAAAATAGCGTGTTAGAGCCGTCGAAAAGACAATAGTCACTTTATGCTTCCAGTTTGCCCCAAGGCACACCAGAACCTTTTTCATAATAACGAGTATGTAATTGTCAACAAACTCATTGTCCCATTTTTACTCGCATGATTCACAGCCCATTTATTACGCATCTGACTTTACAAAGGCATTTGTCATCTATTATTCTGATCATCTCAGCTTCTAAAGTGCTGTTTTATAGAGAGTTATGACCAGGAGTGGACGGGCTTCCTGCCAAGCCTGAAAAAAATATTTGAGCCGCATATTTTCCTATTCACACACTGGCTTTAATAGTCCACTTCAAGGATCTGAATGGAATGAGTTGCTTAGCACATGTTATCCCTCTTTTACCAGGGCTGAAATACAAAGTATATGTCTTACAGAGAGAAATCCTTTTATACCTCGAGCAGCGTGTTCTCTTGCCTTCGAAGCCTTGTTGTCAAGACGAATACATGCATGTGAATTTATAGCTGTAAGAAAAATAATTCCTGTTTGTGTCTCAGGTCTGCCGTGTGGCCTATGAGATTATGCAGACGCTGCATCCAGACGCTTCCTCCTACTTCTATTCCCTGGACGACATCTACTACTTTGGAGGTCAAAACGCCCACAACCAGATCGCCATCTACCCCCACCAGCCGCGCAGCAGCGAGGACATTCCCCTGGAGCCCGGAGACGTGATCGGCGTGGCGGGAAACCACTGGGACGGATACTCCAAAGGCATCAACCGCAAAATGGGCCGCACTGGCCTCTACCCTTCCTACAAGGTCAAAGAGAAAATTGAGACTGTGAAGTACCCGACGTACCCCGAGGCTGACAAACTGCTCAACGCTCAAAATAACTAAAAGAAGAAATGAAAAAAATAAAAGAAGCGAAGGTGTGAGGAGAAACACGCAGACTCCGATTCCAGGGAAGGAGGCTGCTTTTGTACAGAATAGAGAGGCGTACTTAGTGCGCTAAGCCGCGAAGAAAAGAAGAAGCCTGTACCCAGGGGTGATGGGGATGAGAATGCACTCTTATGTGAGAGCGTGTGTTTGTGTGTATGCGTGCGCGAACATGTGTGTGCACTTGTGTAAATGCCTGTGCATATGTCAGGTCATGGAAGACTTGCACCCTACCACTGCTCCCCCTGCCCGATGCTCCGACGTCGGCTCTGTAGAGATGTAGACGTGAACATTGATTTTAAATAAAGCAAGAAAACAATTAAAATCTTCACAACTGACCGAGCCCGCTCACCTGAGACAGGACTGGGACTACTGTAAGACTCGCACGCTGGAGTGAGCTTCGAATCAATGACTGAAAAAAAAAATGATGATGACAAACTGGACAAAAAGTGTTTTTGATTTTTATTTAATTGCTTTCAGTGGTTCTGATTCTAATCTTGCCTTTTTTTCTTTCCCTCCTGTTTTTATTTTGTTTACTGAATGTACTGTATCCTCTTCTTGCCATGCTCACCGCCCCCCCCCATTCCCCTTTTCCACTCACTGTGCTTCCTCCATCTCGTCTTTTCATGTGCAATTAATTTTAAAAAATACCATATTGTGCTTTTATCAAGTGTTTTTAAACGGTCTTAATTTTGTGCGTATGGGGCTGGTGCATTGTATACTGTACAGTGTGTGTGTGTGTGTGCATGTGAGGATGGATGTGTGTGTGAGATCAAGTGTGCCTGTGTGTGATGTTTTAAGGGGCCATGTGACGACCTGGTGCCTGATTCATGGTGAGCAGTGTGTTTTTATCTATTCTGGCTTTCCTCCTGACTGAATAGTGTTTGTATGGCAGTGACAGTGGGGACTGTCCTCCTCAGCCCCCAGTGGGGGGACTGTCCTCCTCGTACTACCGAACCCACCCCCAACCCCCAACCCAACCCAACCCCACCCCACCACAGCACTTGGAACAATGGTGAACTACAGTCACTCCGCTGGTGAATGCTCTTGTGAACAATGGTAAGATTATGTGGAGATTGGTGAACTCATGGTGCACGCACACACACAGACACAGGAGCCGTCCCGAGGCTCACCAAAAGAAGCACTCCACTGAGATAATGTCCTTTCTTCAGCATCTCTGCTCTCTTCTGTCCATTTGTTTGTTTGTTTGTTTTTTTACTTCTAACATTGCTGTTTTAAAATAAATGAGGACGAATATGCCTATGTTTCAAAAATGATAATGCTATGTCATATCAAACTCAGTCCCCCATCATGAAGGCTTTTTTATCATAACTTATGTTCTTGGGCATTGTCTTTGATAACCACGGATCGAATAAACTTGAGAAACCAACACAGCAGTTTGATATATTTTTGTGATTCTGTCCGCCATCTGCTCCTCCATCTCCGCAGCGACACCTGCTCGTTCAATCAGCCTGAACATGCCTCTGCATTACACACATTCCAAACTGGGAATCAAGGCTTCGTCTATTTTTGAAGAGTTCATTTCCTGAAGAGTACCCATCTATTTTCGAATAGTGACAGTCATTACCTGAAGTTCTTCTTTTGATATCCCCATAAAAAGGAGGACCCTGCTTTTCAAATGTATATCATTCTGGCATCCCAGGATTAGAATTTACACTCCTACCTTCAAAAGTACCAGTAGTTTGTTTTATAAATCATTCAGCAAATGTGTGAATCCATTTCAAGTCGTTACAGAGCCCCAAATCTTAAATCTTTCTTTGATCTACGTTCAAACTAAAGACGGAGATCAGTACCTTCAACAGAGACATTAGCGTCCTTCGTTTAAATATTCCTTGTGACAGCTACATGACGTTCTTCCCTGTGGAGCCCGTAGACTTCCCGCTCCAGTCGAGAGTCCTGATCGTTTATGATCTCGTTCTCTGTGTCTTTATGTGCTGTCTTGTTACTTTCTTACCGAGAGTGCTTTGGGAGTTTCATTACAAATCCCTCTTTAATTTCCACGCTGATCTGCATGCTTCATTGGACACCCATAAGGATAGCCGCAGCAGCAGTAGCGGAGATTGAGGTTCCTCGTGAATTGTAATTTTATTGGGTTTTCCCCTCCGCCTGACAACAATCCGCAACCAATTTAGCCGTCGTTGACAAAGCTTTCACAATGCACATGCAGCGTGTAGCAGTTCATTGAACATCTTTCTTCACTGGGAAAGAGTCCCTCGTGGGCTTTATAAACGCACACGCTTCCTGGAGGGCACTTTAATTAAAATGCAATCGTTGCTGTCACAGTGGCCTGTAACAGTCGTTTAAGAGAGACGTTAGTTCAGTTAATTATTCTGTTAATTGGACTCAGCTTCTGATAGAGAGCATTCGAGTTTTTAGCAGGCGGTTTTCCTTCTCTGTATTTGTGGTGTAATTCTCGCAGAGCTCGTTGATATTTAAAGGCCTCCCCCATAACGTTGGGTGGTTGTGTGAGCTGAAAGGAAATCTGTCACATCCCAGTGCCTTATTCCTTTACAAACACATGGATCAACAGGTTGCTTTTCATTGTTTATCCAGGCTCTTTTGTCACTTCATTCTTTGGAAAAATTCCCTCCAAAGGTGATTACAAGGGAAAGAAGTTGAAAACAATCCATACCATAGTCATTGTTTAGGATTTTTGTTAAATACAGTGTTTCCTTGCTCAGCTGCAGAGGAAAGACTTTTGTATTAAAGGTCACCTATTATGCAAAATCCATTTGTTCATGTATTTTCAACATCAACATGTGTCCCCTTTGTGAAGAGAGTCTGAAAGTTTCAGGAAAAAGATTCTCTCACTTTTTTTCCTGATCGATTTATATAAAAACCTGTCTGAAAATGAGCTGATCAGATTTTGGCCACTTTGTGATGTCATAACGTTTTTTTTTGGCTTGTTTAACCCCCCCACCACCACCATCACCACCTTATCACCTGAATCTCCTCCTAGAGCACCCTTAACCGCGTTCACACCGGAGTTCTTTTCCCGTTTAGTTCCGTTAGTACCCCTTATGTTGCGTTCACACCAAAAAGAGTACTTAGTGCCGGGAACATTTACCCCCATTTTTAGTGCCTGCTAGAGAGGTGGTACCAAAAAAGTACCAATTTCTATTGGCTGGGCGAATTGCAACCATGCCCCGTAAAATTCTGAAAAGTTTTGTGAAGCCGCCATTGTATTTGTGGCATTAGCATTATTAGCATTAGCCTCGCAATGCAGAGAG